ATTTATTTGTTTTTGTTCTCTCCAAAAATTGTAAAAACAGTCAGTGAGGTAATTAAATATGCCCATCTATGTAACATATATTTGTAATAATAATAATGATAATTATATTTATACTAATCATCATAATCATAATTACTATATAACAATCATCATCATTATTATTATTATTAATCAAACAAATCAGAAGGTTGTATTTCAAACTAAAATATTTTACTTAATATTAGTTATCTACAACATTTCATGCAGACTAAATAAAGCTAATAATAATACTTATAATCAGCTCTATGTTTGTCAGTATATTTTCAACAATACACGTTTCAATGTAGCAACAGATTTGAATATTATGGTCCACTGTTGAGAAAAATAAAATATTAATATGTTCTGAAAATGATCTGATTTTGTAGCGCCATATTTATTTGTTGTAATAGAAATGACTATTTTTCCATGACGTTTAGATTTTAATTGATATTAAACTATTCTGATATTAATAATCTGTAAATAAACAGAGTTTATTTTCTAAGAAATAATTTGCTTGTGTCTGTGATTGATTACTGAGTGACTTTGCCTTGAACATTATAACTTAAGTCTATACATTTTATTATATCATAAATAAAATACTAAAACGACATATTCATCAATACTGTGCATTTCTGGAAATATGATTATTAAATTGAGATTGTGAGGTGTAATGGTGTGAGGATATTCAAAACAGTCACTGCAGAGTGAGACTTCATTGTGACATTTTACGATGATTTAATTTTAAAATATAAAATACAGAAAGGCACAGTCACTTATTGTATTTTGTTTTATTCAGTATATTTGTAAATCTGAAATTTTACATATGAATTTGACACAAATCCATAATAGTAGATTAAAATAAAAGCTACAGAATCCCATGTGACCACATGCAGCAATATTGGGGAAGCTTAAAATGTACAAGATGTCTGTAAATATGTGAGATGTGACTGTGTCAACTTGCACGCTTTCTTTACTCCAAAAGATTACACAACGATTTTGCACAAACTCCACCCTGCTAATGTGGGAAAGTCCAAGAAACCAAATCAGTATCGTATGAAAATCTGAAGCGACAGAGGCGACACAAGCTTGTAAACAACGGTTATGGTTGCCACTTTGGCTGTCTGTCTCACTGACCGCTCTGTTAATCCACTTAAGACACAATAGACCGCAGACCCACACAACACCTTCCTACCAATTTATCATTAAAACACTTTACTTCCAAGTGTTTCCCTGCGATCATCAAATCATGAGTTTGGAGGTGAAAATGACTGAAATAGTGTGATTCAGATTTGCAGACATTAAAGGAAAAAAAACAGCATCCCTGGGTCACCGGCACTCAGCTGTGGTCTGTGTAATTTTTCACGGTGTCTTCTCCCTCGCTCTTTCCCTCTCTCCTCTGCATTACCTTAACAAAAGCCTCACACACACACATACATCCACTCCACCAGTGTGACAGACAGGGAGACAAAATGGCTGAATAGTGATGGAGGAGCTGCGTGTTCCTTTATGTGTCGACTAATCAGCCAGCACTAACATGTGTCAACACTACACTCACACTCGCCTCAGAATGGGGACATTGTCCCACAGACAGAGGGAAAAACTAACACTCCTTCGATATCCTGACAACAAATGAGGAACAAAATAAATAAAGCCTCAGTCATTGTTAGAATATCTGCAACAAAATATTGACACGATTACTTTCACAAGCAAAAATGTTTAAACAAATATATTGGAATTTTAATTTTAGCTACATTTAACTAAAATCATTCCTTGTACGCTGTATTTATTAAAATATCTGAGCTACTGGTGGAGGTTTTCTAACAACAGCTCCTCTGTGACAGCGGAGGACTAGCCGACGGCTACCTTTTGAAGCCTGCTGCAGCAGCACTGATATCCTCCACCACACGTACACATACAGTGTCATCAGTAGTCTACAAAACCTGCCTGTCTCCAGTTGTGCTGTATTTATTATTGAGATAATTGACAGCTGGCATCAATCCTCAAATGCATAAATAATATTCTGTGGATCTGGAGAAAACATAGACCACTGATAATATGAAGATAAAATATAAAATGTGTGTCTGATTGACATAGACAGATAGATAGATAGATAGATAGATAGATAGATTTTTCTATAGCAGGGTGAATAAATGTTTTAATTATTTGAACAATAAAATCGTTCTTTTCATCCTCGATCAAATTCCCTAATTATCACATCAAAAGCGTGATTTAGCGTTTCCACTAATGGAAAATAACGACTGCAGGAATAGTGACAGTGATGGAGAAAACTGAAAACTGAAAACTGACAAGACGCTCTATTTTTGCTTGCTCTGTTATTCAATTTTGCACTGTTAAAACTGAAAAATGCAAAAAATTGACACATAACATTTCAGCCACGCTGCGTTTCAGTGGATCCTTTGTGAGATTGTAAATTTTAGTTTTTTGCGAGTCAAGCCTTTTCACTCAACCATTGTGCATTAACATACTGCAAGAAGGACAGAGAGCGAGAGGGAGAGGGAAGGAGGTGGAGAGATAATGAACCTGTGTCTGCTACTGCTATAGGCAATCAGGAACTAACCTTGTGAATAATCAAGGCTTGGCAGGCTTGGGAGAGAGAGGGGGTGAGAGAGGAAGAGAAAGAGAGAGTGTGACTATAGCACCAGTCTCTAATCCTATCAGTCCGGCCCATGGTGTGTGTGTGTGTGTGTGTGTGTGTGTGTGTGTGTGAGGGTTGTTTCTTTAGGACAGCTCCCACTGCGAGCAGTGAAAAGCAACCTGAAATCAAAGCCTAAATGCATCTGTGTTTGTGTTTATCACACAATGGCAAACCTTCTCTCACCGAGGCCTTCTATACATCTGAATCATTCTCTACGGCTCTGTGTCTCTCTCTGCCTCGCCATGCATTTCTGGGGTTTCATTCGGTGCCCGTGTGTGTTACATATCGATGCTTTTCCCTTGAAGTGGATTTCTCTTTAGGCAGTGCATGACTGTCAACTGCACAACAAATGACTGTAGGGCTTGTACTGGGTAAAAAGGCACCTTTACCCTTTACACTGCCGTGCTGGTTTGCAGGAAAGTATTTATTGTATTTGCATCTAACAGTGTTGTGACATTGCTGTTTATCTGTTGAGGTGGGTCAAGTAGTTGAGACTAGCTTGAAAATGGAAACAGCAGAGCAGAAGTGATGACATATATGTTTAGAAGTATGCTTTTATATGCTCATATGAACACGAGGACTCGACAGCTGTGATGAGTAGCTGCTATGGCACTTTGCTGAACATTATACGAAATACTAAAAAACAAAAATGAGAAAATAGATGAATCCAGCTGTCTCAAAATGAAGTGCTTATCATGTTGTAGACTTCACAAAGGTGGCATGCTGCAGCAGGGCCATGTTATTGGGATGCATTATATTGCAATCATGTCCTATGTGTGTGTACATGTCTCTGTGTGCCCCGTACATATGAACTGCCAGGCTACTTGCAGCTCTTCTTTTCAACAAGGATGGGATTAGAGCAAATTCTGTGGGAGTGTGTGCATGTGTAGCAACACAAACACCAGCTGACGCCATGGACAGGTGGAAGGAGGGTCGCCATCCCCCGTTAATGTGCACACAAATATTCTAACATACACCAGGTATGTGTTGGCGCATACCTGGTTTGTATGGACACAGATCTCACACACCAAGCATACATAACTGTAAAATGCAGAATTGGTAGCTGTAATACATCCATTGTTCGACATGCACACACACACACACACACACGCACACACACACACATATACACATGCACACGCCCCCATAACTGGTGTACACATAATCAGACATACACTCGCTGACGGAGAAAAACAAAACAACAGCAAACGCCAAACTAAAATAATGGCGGGACAGAAATCAATATTACAACAATGCCACATAGAAACAATAATGACAAAGCTGTGTCTTCTGTCTTACGAAGCCGTCCGCTAAAAGCATATTTCTCGCCCTCCATCTTACAGCTGGCTGGCCGACAGGCAGACAAAGAGACACTACCGCAGTGTGAAAATATACTGACGTAGCTGGCTTCTCTGTGGCTGAGATTTAGTCTGTGTGTGTGTATGTGTGTGTATGAGCGTGTTTCCGTGCTTTATGGATCGAAGTAAATATGCGTGCTATATTTCAGAGTGTATTTCTGGGAGCACACGTGCAGATGTTTCATGCGATTTTACTTTTGAGTATGCAGCAAGTTTGTCTCCATGAATGTTAGCAGCACTTATTGTCTCTGCATGTATGTCTTCATTTGGTTGATATGCTCATGTGTGTTTGTGTGTGCGTGTGTTTCAGGTGTGTGGTGGGGATGGGCAGGTTCTAGCTGTAGTAATCTGAATTTTCAGCATCTGAGTGTTCGCCCTTCTTTCGTTGCCACTTTCTCCCTATGTACCTCATCCTCTCCTCTCCTCTCCTCTCCTCATCCTCTCCTCTCCTATCCTCTCCTCTCCTCTCCTCTCCTTTCCTCTCCTCTCCTCATGTAAATAAAATTGCAGTGCTAGAATTTTAATGATGATCTTTTTCTTCCCTACAGTCTGGTTACAGCCTGGATAGACACACAGAGGGAACTAATAACACTGGTGTCTTTGTAGGGAAACAACACACATTCAGTCTGCATACATTTAGACATGCACATAAAATGTGTCTCCATGCAACTAGCAGTAATGATACTTCTAATAAAACATACCCATACCATTACAATATGCCACATAAGCTGTTTATAGTGACACCATGGTTTCATTTGTTAGTCTGGTATTAGCCACTGACTAACAATGCTAAGGAGCTACTTCACAGTAAAGCATTAACACTGATACATTGACACATAGCAACACAAATACACCAAATAATTTACTATCATGCACCAACTGATGGATTACAAAACCTGAATACTAGAAGAAGTATACATAACATAAGTCAGATTGGTGTTTTAAGTGTGTGTGGTGCAGATGCTCACCTGTTTGAGGCAATTGCTAGCAGTTTAAACTGTCTGTGTGTCTGTGATGGAGGCCTGCAGAGGGCCGAGCCTTCACATCTATTTCACACAGACAAAACACAAAGAATGGGTCATCAGCTAATCCTTAAAATCCCGTCCTAGTCAACTGAGGGTTAAAATAAAGAAACAGGAGCCTAAATGTTGAGAAAAACGGCAAACAAAAATCTTTGGTGTAGATTGAAATTAGAGAGTGATACAAAGTAGACAGAGATAGAAGGTGATGAGGAAAGGGGATTCTAAGAAAGACTGAGCAGAGACATGCTAGCACTTCCCTGAGCAACTTTCAACTTTGAGAACAGGAGCAACAGATGCAGAGAAGGTGTATTGTGGAGGGTATTAGGGCGAGGGACACCCCAAAATCTCCCCCGCTGCGTGTATGCGTTTGTTTGTGTGTGTGAGTGTGACAGCAGGGAGCAGCTCAGTGCAGGACGCTGCACGCAGCAAGGGGCCATTAGACATGGTGGGGTGACCCACATAAAAGACGCATGCACACGCACGCACACACACACACACACACACACACACACAAGCATGAAACTTTCCCTTTTGCGGCCAATGTGGCATGATAACCATAAAGCCGAGATTCTTTAGCATTGGGTTTAGCATGGCCATTGTCACATGGTTCTCACAGTGTAGGATTTGGTAGGCGACCGCTGGTCCAATAAGCCTCAATATATTGAGCACAAATCCAACAAACTCTTTTCACTGATGAAACACATTATTCCTACTCATTTGCAGTGAAAACTCCTCAGTGTCTGTGTTTTCTGCTGTACTTTAGCTCGTGTTACCACTATTAAGTCACACATGAAATGCTCATTTCTGCACTTCTGTCAGCATTGATTGGTTTGTGGTGATATGATGGGGAGGAACTGTATGTGGTGAGCTGGGAATATGGACTTTATTCTGACACATGCAACTGGCAACAACACAACAAACTATAGCCTTAAAAATCACTAATTAAGGCCTCTTTGACACAGTCACCACAGAAAATGAGTTCATAAAATAGGCGAGGTTTTCTTTTGCAAGCATTATTGCATTGCATTGAATACTGAGCAGGTATTCCTGTTATTGTTCCCCCCATACTGATCTCAAAGTTTGTTAAAACTGTTGGGAAGCAAGTTTCCCTTTTTCTACATGTGCACTAAGTGATTTGTCTCTCTACAATGATTGATGGCAGCATTTTGATGACATTTTATATCAATTAACATCTAAAACTTACTGTCTTTCCTGTAATCTCTAAATGTCCCTTAATAATTACAGCTGTCACTGCAAACTGACTTTTAATGTGTGGTTTTTTGTGTGGCATTACTTGACAGACAGTTCAGCATATTTTCATTGAAGACATAATACACAGCAGGACTCTTATATAAAAAGCACAATGCTGTTGTGGAAATCAATACAGCCAGTGTTCAAGAACCATGACGGGTCACAGTGCATCCAGAACATGCACCCCTGCAAGAAGAAAATATGGACTTATCTAACCAGGAATATCATCAAATGTAATCAATACACAGCAGGCCTATTCAACCAGTGGCCTGTGGGCCAATGTCGGCCCACCTAAAAGCCAGACTGGCCACCGATCAGTTCTTTTTCACAATTAAATGAAATTTAAAATCTGAAGACTAAAAATCACATGAATAAGGGACATTGGGTCACAACATAAACCTCTAAACCAGCAGAGTGCTCCTATGCTGTCAGTATCAGCCAACCGCAGCATGCATTATTGATGACGAAAGCCCTCCTCCAAATGCTGCTGTTGTCGCAGGCTTGTTTGCAGTATAGCAAAATAAAAGTTTTGAAAATGTGGTGCATTGTGTCAAGCGACATATATAATCAGAATAACAGCTCAGGGAAATGTCCGGGCCCCAGGCCCTAAGCTTTCTGAAAATGAAGCCCCCTGAACAATAGAACTGAACTGTCCTGATACACTGCTTTTATTCAGAATACAAATAATCCACACTGGGAGTGCTCTGATATGGTGTACCATGTCATATGTTTCTATATTTACAACATAGTTTTAGTACAACTTAACTACTTTACTTCACCCAAAACTGGGACCGTAACAGGGACTCCTGGTGACGTAACTGTATTTTTTATTTGCTTTTCACTTCGTTTTTAAAATGGAAAATTGACGAATTAATATTTAGAACTGTAGCACTTTTCTACCATAAGTGCTACTAATTCAAGCACTTAAAACTGAGGGGGCTGTAAATGGGTCCACTTGTCTGTATCTACTTTAGATTTTTTTTGGCAGTGAAAAAATCTGATCATTAGCTCGTAAGTGCTCCAGCGTAGAAATAGCAATGGTGGGTAGAGTGCTATAAAATCTATACACAAGTAAAAGTATGATTACTTCCATTACTTAATAAATTACTCAAAGTACAAGTTACTTTCTATTCTACTATTTTTAGGGTGTGTGGGCCAGTGCAAAACATTGAAAAAACATATCATATATTATATCTTTTTGAATGAAGTAGAGCAGGTAAGCTGCACTACATTTAACAACAATTAAGCAGCATCATACAAGATGAAGTTCGGCTGAGCGCCAAAGTTAATCACAGTCGTGCTGATATTCAGTACAACTGCATGACCTAGACTGTGATATTGCTTTTAAACAACAGTTCTACAATCACTATTTATCAGTTAACAGTAATAAGCAACAACAGGTTATGATTTGTTTGTTAATTTAATCATATATTTGGCTCCGACAGCACACATAGTTTGGCAGCTAGACCGCGACTGGACTGTTGCCAAGCAGCACATAAATATTCCCGCACACTAGCTTGGTACTTAGTGTAGGTCTACATGTTACTGCAGGCCAGCTACTTTGTATCATCCTACATTTATCTGGATGTTTCCAGCTATTTTGCAGCCAGTACAATAAGAGTCTGCTGACAGTCATTTGGGTGACATACGTGTGATACCGATGAGTTAACAGCCTGATCAGACAGTCGGCTGCGACATCAGCTGATGCTATAGGAAAGAGCACACCTGGCAGTTTGCAGTGAAGTTTGTAGAAATATTTTCATGTTTGTGGTGCAAAATTTATTACGACAATCATTGATATAATGAGCGCACTATGGCACAAACTGGACTGTTCGTCAACATGGACACTGCTACTACTGTTAGTTTATTCAGAGCACCACACTGAGAGCGGCAGAGCGCCAAGAGCAGTGAATGTGATGAATGCTATATTTCTTCAAACAACAGGGCTCTCATTTTAATGTGGAGTGTCAGATTGGATTTATGAATGCACCAACTGATTAATTTACCAGTTTTAATGAAGGTATGAAAGGCAAATGTAGCAAAGTAAAAAGTAGATTACTGGCTAAGAAATATACCTGAGTAAAGAATTAAAACGAAGGGATGTAAAATGTACTCGTTCCTTAAAAAAATACTAACTGTAATGCGTTAATACTCACCCCTGAGAAATAGTCATTGAACATTTTATGTGATGCAAACAAACTCATGGGAAATCTGTCGGCTCCCAGTAATATTTCTATTTATTTGTTCATCTGTGATAGATTGCTACCCTTATAGCAATCTATTAATGCAAGCCAAGTCAAGTGAAGTCAGTTTTTATCTATATAGCCCAACTTCACAAATCAAAAATGTGCTTCAAGGGGCTTCACAATCTGTACAACACCTGACACCCTCTATCATTAGACCCTAAAGTCTCTGTTCCAATATAAACAGTATGTGGCATACCGTACTTTCAGTATGACAAGGCTAATTATTTGACTAAGCTGAGGCAGCATCAGGTTCTCCAGTAACTCCGACACAATGTTTTGTTCTGTAATAAATCTTGAGCCATGTCTTTTTTCTCTCAGATAATTACAATTTGGCTGCACAGCTCCACTTCCTCACAGTGCTTCACAGCAGACAGATTGTTGAGTTGGTGAGTTGGCCTGCAGTTCTGAAACTCTCCTTCTTTCATTATCCTTATCTCTCCATATCTCTCTCTCCTGCCCCCACAACACACGCACACACACATATACATTGCCAGAGGGATTTGCAGCAGCTAGGCAGAGCCTAAGTGTGAGTCTGTGTGTGTATGTGCACATGCACAGCGGGGAGTTGCCAATTACAGCAGTGATTAAAACCCAGTAGTGTGGAAAGAGTGAGTCGGAAAGAGGTGGAGAGAGAGGGAGGAAGAGAGAAAAAGAAAGGGATATGGACAGACAGACAGAGCTACAATGAACAAGGACATAAATGTGTTCCTACACATACAGCCCTTCCCATAAATGCTACAGAATTGTACTTGTGATATTTGTGGACAGCCTGAGTCAAAAATTTAGGAAATGGGCTTTGGCAATTTTATATGTGAAACCCGAGCACAGTCTCTGTAAACATTAGTGCATTTGCTTCAAAATAACCACCGTCATTACTGTAAGTAGGATAATACCAGATAATGATAAACAAAGTGCACATCGTTAAGAAAAAATAGTCCATCAAAGCCCATTTTGACTAAACCAGCCATCAGCTACCTCTGCTCAACAACATGATATATTTTGCATGTAAAGCTCAGTGGAGATATATAGAGAGGAAGACATGACATGGGATTAATGTGAATGTACAGTATGCATATTGAAACCCTCTCACTGGTATAATCCCCTCTCACTGGTACAATCACACAGAATCAGACACTGGGTGTGTGCTCAGCCCCAAAATTGCAACCTCTTGTCCTCTGCATTTCCCACTTCTCCCCCATTTAGCTCTGACCCCCCCCCCCTACCTGGCTTAACCATGGACAATGAGTTCACATGACTCGTGTTGCAAAGAGAAAAGGAGATAAAAAAGAGTGAATAGAGAAAGTACAGAGAGGGGCTGAACGACAACAAGGGAATGGCATCGATGTATCTTTCTCTCACCAGGACTGTTTTTAAGATATTTCACTGTTTGCATCAAGGAGCACAGGCAGCTGCATCTCTGAGCCGATGAACTGCATGCATTCACCACATGAGCGAGGGCTGTGAGTGGGGGTGGGAGAATAATTGATTCTTAGTCACATTGCAATGCCGACGTGGGAGATTGGTTTTCAATTCGCAAATATCAAAAATTGATTTTCTAAATGTTACTTACGAATGTGATGTTGACGGAACCAAAAAGGTGGAACCCAATTGCGAGGACAGTGGAGCACCCAGGCAGTCTACGGTGCAGACATGCTAGAGTTAGCTATAATTCATCTTCACAAAAGGCAGTGGTTGCAAGCATGTTTAATTTCATGTCTTCTAATAACAATATTGTGACAAACATGAAGTATATTGTACTTTTTAGAGAGATTATTGTTAATGGAGCGTAGCAGTGGTCAGCAGTAATGTTCAAATAACATAAAGCTATGTACTTAACGTACTTAAGTTACAACCCTTTTCTTTCGGAAAAGCAACATGGTTGGGCATCTTTAGATTTCGGCAAATAAAGTTACCGTGTTTAGGAAAAGAAACACGGTGACGACGTCCCTCACACGTTCACACATTCAAACATCTGTCTTCAGGGAGACAAATTACTGGCTCATGAGTATGTAGGATATGTACAAATTTTGGTGTGTTACTTTTCATGGGAAAACATACAAACAGTGCATGAGAACAGCCTGCCAACACACTCTGCAGCCTTCAACAACTTTAACCAACTCTGAGTTGAAGAAAATAACTCAATGCTCAGTTTGTTTCACTTTAAAAACCCTGCGCCTGCTCAGTGTCTTGGCTGTCGCCTGAGCTAATGGTGCAGCACAGATGCTGCTCTCCACTGCTGGAGACATAACATCTTCAGCATTTTGTTATTCTCATACAGGCAGGACTGTAGGGTGCTTTTAAATTAATAAATTCAATAATCAATGCAGTTAAGTTTTAAAAAAAAAAGAAAAAAAAAAAGCAGCAGGCCATTTATCTTAAAAGCCAGGTATGTTCCACGTTGTACTTGGGAAGAATAAGGACACAAGTGAATGGTTTGGCACACAGTATAGCCTACTGGAGCAAGAGACTGAAAATTAAGTCTCACTCTTTGCTATTTATTCAGTCGAAAATCGAGTTTGAATTGCATCAGACACCAAAGAATCTTATCCCATCGAATCGCTAGATTCCCGAAGATTCCTACCCCTCGCTGGCAGAAGAGGAGAGGTATGTAGGGATATAAGGAGAGGGTGTTAGATGAGAGAAGACATGAAATGGAAAAGGAAGCAAATGAGTGAGGCAAAGATAGGATTAGGGATGGAAATTAGCACCAGCCAAGTGGCTGCTAGATTTTCTTCACTCACCAGCCAAAACAAAACAAACAAAAAAGTGGCAGGTGAAAAAAAGTTAATTTCCAAATCTGGATAGGTATAAAGGGCAAGAGATAGAGGTAGAGGAGGAACATGTGGAAGTACAACTACTAATACAGCAACAATAATTAGATGATCAAATTCAGTCTATTAGCATCACAGATGTTACAGGTGTTAATAACATGTTAATCACAGTAATGTAACAGAATTTACCATAAGTAACACAAGTGTATGTTTCACTCTTTGTACACCCCTTTATGTTCACATAAGCTGTGGCTGAACTGGTCTCAGTGTTAGTATTCTTTGCATGCACCTGCTGATGCACAAACATGATGCTTCATTTATTATCAATGCTAAAGGAAAAGGCTTTTCTCACTTACATCACAGGTTAGAGTATATGGTCTCTTTCTTTCAGCTTTAAGAAACCTGGTTCATGTTCACACATAAAACTGCAGATCCATCTATTATTCCTCTAACTGACCCATGTAAGACTATTCAAAACACTCCTATGACCTAGCCAAATAACCTGTGATGAAGTCATGTCACAAAGAAATGGAAAAAATCAGTTACCAGTCTACTCTGCGAATGATACAGCCACCACTTTTTTCTCAACTCATGACGTGAAGTCACGTGCACATGTCAGATTTACCATAAATACATGCTTCCTACTGAGAGGAACCATTTATATCAGCCTCCTGGTGTACCTACATGAGAATGATGTGGTATTTTTGCAGGCTTAGAAATTTCTTTGCATCACAAATTGAAAACACATGTTGACATGGGATGCAAACACTGAAATAAATCCACCCATGCTGAACGTCAAGTAATTAAAAGTACTACTTACTTTCACAGTAACAGAATAAATTTATCAAAGCAACAACATATGCTTCAGTTTTTGTTTTTTAACCTTTGCTTTTGTCTAGGTTGGGTTTTAAATTGCTGACTTCAAATTCTAAACAGAACAAGGTTAACACATGTATAAATTCTGAGAGTAATTCTGCACATGAAAACATAAAATCAAAAACCTATGTCAACAAACACAAGTGATAAGTTTAGACGTTAAACGTTAACATATCCTCACAAATATTTCAGAGTGCATTAAAACTGGTGTTAGGAGTAACACGCTACTGTAATTCCACTACTTTTGGCTGGAAATGTAGCTAATTACTTTTACAAATAAAAAAAACAAACACAATTACAGTTACTGAAATTTAAATTGGCTTCTTACTCGTTACTTTTGTCTTGATCGTGGCCGACACACGCCGCCTATTCCCTAGGTTACAATCTAACGTCACCCAACCTGACAGTGGCACAATGAATGACGTGAATCAATCAATCAACATTGGACTGACACTGCACACAATGGCCCACAGCTCAGGCAATCTGAGCCTGCTGTCCTGAAAATATGGACATTATTTTTCCCTCGTGATCAAGGACAAAAATATAGTGAGGAAATGTAGTTTATCTGCATTTTTGAGGACTTAATCCACATTAGTGGTGTTGCAATATGGTGGTATTGACAATAACTGCAATATCTAAAATTACATATTGATATCATGTTAATAATACACATATGATAATACTGAGTAAATAATGCACTGCCTCTTAAATGTTTCTTCCCATTCTTGCTTTGTCTTCTTCACCTAAAACCATCTGGTTCCCTTTTCACTCTCTATTAAATGTAATTGCTCTTTTTGTACACTTTTGTTCATTAATAGTTACAGACTCTCTCTGCCTCTCCTACACTCGTACTTTCAGTGTAATTCATTTGCTAAAACAGAGACAAAATGCACCATTAACAAAGTTAAGGCTAAATTTAACTGATAGCATTATTATAAATTTGAACTTTTTTTGGTCACAACAACTGTGAAGTGAAAATCTGATACCGTGCCAGCCCTAATCCACATCAAAAAGTAGTAATACTAATTTTATGACGCACCTAGCAACACAACACACTTCAAAGCTAATCTAAGCTCATTTTTATCATCATGATAACGGGTACAATCATAGACATATTTAACAGGTGTCTTGTCCCAAACTGTGCTACAGCAACACTGACATTATATAGCTATGTGTGCATTCATGGGAGAATTGAAGCAGATATTTAAAAGTAACACAAAAGTTGAACTCAGTCTATTAAGATGGATTGCATTTGATGATAGATTTGAACCAGGAAGAACTGACACCAGATTTAAGCAATGGGCAGAAAGGGGCATAATAGCCATATGCAAAGTAAACAAAAACTGTGAAATGATTAGCTTTCCAATTACAAACAATGGCGGACCATCATAGACGATATTTAGGAGATAGAGAATCTTACATACAGGATACGAATGAAGTAAGGACAATTTGAAAAAGACTGGGAGAAATGGTTAAATTACAAAACGAAAAGACAACAATATAGACAATAACGCTGTCTCTGTTGATTTTGAACTAGTTTACTCCCACGGGCTCTGTTCATGTTATGTTCATCCTTTGTTGCATTATTTAAGTTTTTTCATTTTATACATATAGTCAAGCATTTTCTGCTAAAAATCCTTTAGATTTCCCACCTGTGTGAGACGTTCTCCAGACAACTACTATATACATATATATATATATATATATATATATATATATACAGTACAGGCCAAAAGTTTGGACACACCTTCTCATTCAATGCGTTTTCTTTATTTTCATGACTATTTACATTGTAGATTCTCACTGAAGGCATCAAAACTATGAATGAACACATGTGGAGTTATGTACTTAACAAAAAAAGGTGAAATAACTGAAAACATGTTTTATATTCTAGTTTCTTCAAAATAGCCACCCTTTGCTCTGATTACTGCTTTGCACACTCTTGGCATTCTCTCCATGAGCTTCAAGAGGTAGTCACCTGAAATGGTTTTCCAACAGTCTTGAAGGAGTTCCCAGAGGTGTTTAGCACTTGTTGGCCCCTTTGCCTTCACTCTGCGGTCCAGCTCACCCCAAACCATCTCGATTGGGTTCAGGTCCGGTGACTGTGGAGGCCAGGTCATCTGCCGCAGCACTCCATCACTCTCCTTCTTGGTCAAATAGCCCTTACACAGCCTGGAGGTGTGTTTGGGGTCATTGTCCTGTTGAAAAATAAATGATCGTCCAACTAAACGCAAACCGGATGGGATGGCATGTCGCTGCAGGATGCTGTGGTAGCCATGCTGGTTCAGTGTGCCTTCAATTTTGAATAAATCCCCAACAGTGTCACCAGCAAAACACCCCCACACCATCACACCTCCTCCTCCATGCTTCACAGTGGGAACCAGGCATGTGGAATCCATCCGTTCACCTTTTCTGCGTCTCACAAAGACACGGCGGTTGGAACCAAAGATCTCAAATTTGGACTCATCAGACCAAAGCACAGATTTCCACTGGTCTAATGTCCATTCCTTGTGTTTCTTGGCCCAAACAAATCTCTTCTGCTTGTTGCCTCTCCTTAGCAGTGGTTTCCTAGCAGCTATTTGACCATGAAGGCCTGATTGGCGCAGTCTCCTCTTAACAGTTGTTCTAGAGATGGGTCTGCTGCTAGAACTCTGTGTGGCATTCATCTGGTCTCTGATCTGAGCTGCTGTTAACTTGCGATTTCTGAGGCTGGTGACTCGGATGAACTTATCCTCAGAAGCAGAGGTGACTCTTGGTCTTCCTTTCCTGGGTCGGTCCTCATGTGTGCCAGTTTCGTTGTAGCGCTTGATGGTTTTTGCGACTCCACTTGGGGACACATTTAAAGTTTTTGCAATTTTCCGGACTGACTGACCTTCATTTCTTAAAGTAATGATGGCCACTCGTTTTTCTTTAGTTAGCTGATTGGTTCTTGCCATAATATGAATTTTAACAGTTGTCCAATAGGGCTGTCGGCTGTGTATTAACCTGAC